TGTGTCGGTTGCAGAAAAATGGAGATTTTTGCAAGTTTATGTTACAGGTGGATTAACTGCGGATGAAGAATCTGTCGAAGATTATCTTCCTTGTCCTGGGAATTCTCGCATGGGAAACCATGAAAACTTCTTTCCGATGGAAAAGACTCCATAGGGAATGATTGGATTTATAAATACACTAGATTAGAGAAATGATTCACCAACTTGCGTTTTCTAACAGAACAAAAACCCTGACAGATACGAGACCAGACCAAACTGAAATCTGGCAATTAATGTCATCATGCTAGTTGTACAGGGTACTTTTTACCCGCCCAGCTAGCATGATCGCCACTCGGCGACAAATCTTATATACAGGCAGACTGACAAAAAACGACCAATATTTCTCCATATTTCAAATGTAACATCAGCGGCTGATAATTTTTTCATCAGATGGCACCTTATAAGTTTTTTTTCATCTTGGGCCATCTTCTATTCGGCGATTTTATGGAAATGGTTGTATTCTATGGTTGTACCAACGCCAACGCTATAGGTGCATAATGATTTATACCTTTTCTAATATAACCTTTTCTGTCGAACGATATATATTTATATATTATATGTATACATATGCAGCAGATAATGACAGTGTGATCCGGTAGCTAATAACAGAAATAATAATACCCACACTAACGTTTTGACACCAACGCTCAATACCACGTCACTGATGTAGTTCACCAGATATGGTCAATGGAAATCACCCCGTATAAGGTGGCATTAATGGGCTTGTATCACAAAAATTTTTTATTTCATAATTCGATAGAACTCACCCAAACTAGCTCACCACCGCAAACCGTTTCTTGCTGTGAGCTCCCTACGTTTTATAAAAAATTATTGAAATCCCCGATTTTTCGGACCTCTGAAAACGAGGCGATGATGTGACGTCAAAACCCTAATACTGAAACAAGACTATTCCAGACAGAGATGAATGATACCTGATTTCTGACAGAGTGAATTAGCGCGAGATCACAGTTGAAAGAATTAATATATCAGTTGCCTCAGTCTCCGTCGGGCGTTTGGTATTTTCTTTCAACCAAGACGAGATGAGTTTTCTACGTCATAAGAGGGTCCGTTTTCAGAAGGTACTATTATTTATGTCCAAAAATAAAATATTCCAGTAAATTTTTCGATCGATTATGTCGTCAATCATTATTTATGTATAATAGGATCATTATAAACATGGTTTGAGTTAAAAGTTCTACTAAGGTGTACACGCCCATTGTAAGAACTAACGTATAGTAACAACATGTGTTTTTGTAAATTTCGAATTTGCAAGTATACCTACATAATATTATATGGTAAACTGTTGATGAATGATTTCTATTTATCGATTTATAGAATGAACTCGAAATAATCTGAAGTTGAATGTAAATGTCATTTAACCTATAAACGTCAAAAAATTTCCAGTGTAATTTCATGCTCCCTCTCCCAAGGAGGAGGACAAAATTTCCAAGAAATTTGTTAAGTTGCTATGGTAACGATACGGAATACAGACTTTAAATTGATCGAAAATGTTTGGTGTGGAATTTTCAGTATTATTTCGCTCATCAAATTGTGATACATAGTTGAATAGAGAATTTTAAGGCGAATAAGATAGAAATATACAGGATGTCATTTGAAAAATAAGAGTTGAGTCTACTTCTGATCAAACAGGTGGTTGGAGAAAATTGTCATTGGGTTCAAGGGAAGCGCCGACATTAATAAAATAACCCTTTTGAATTTCAAATTTTTATCTCTCCAAATAAAAAACTACAAGCTGTTATATGTCTCCTGTGTCACCCAGTATATGGGAATTAGTACATTGATGAGCAAAAATAAAACGACCTAGAGGAATGCCCATATTTAGTACTATAGGATTTTTGTAACGTGTATTGAACGAAGATATCCTATCAGTATATATGAGAAAGTGATACGTCAATTAGAAATGAATGCTTGTTTAGGAGAGATAAATCAGTAGAGTGTTAATATAATCGTTTTATTTCTAATCGCAGTTTCCGGTCATTTCAAAATCTCTCTGCAAGGAAACAGATTATTTTCAGTTTCGTACAATTGTTGGTGGATTAGGATATCACATTATAATTTGACGAGATCATTTTGGAGTCTAATATACAGTGTATCCACTTAAGAATGGAGCACCCTTATTGAATCTTAAAATCAACAGTTATTAATCGATTGTTTTTTTTATTACAGTAGAAAAAGTATCAAGAGGTCTGCTTTCACACCAATTCGTAAAATATATTCTCAATTCTCAGGGCATATACTATGTGCTTTTTTATATAAATAATATCGATGAATCAGAACTAACTGACCATATCCTTACTGAAAATACACAACATATGGCTGAGTGGAACAATATTAAAATCATATGAAAGGAAGATAATAACCAAAAGAGAAAAATCAAGGAATCCGCTTGCATTCTTCTGAACGGAGAAAATTGCATTGCTTGCTGTTCAGTTGATATAAATAGAAAGAACATGGTATTCACTACTGAAATCTGAACATGAAAATGGTGGATTCAAGATCAATTGATGAGAACATCCAGTGGCTAGTAGAAATACTCGTGAAGTTTCGAAAATGGGTTGCGTGCAAGAACTGTCAGATGACCGACCATGGAGGCACAACATTGAAACACAACCTCACTTTTCTCATTTATTTACAAGTGATTGAAATATTTTTTCACAATTATTTTGGCATACGAATCGTATTTTTCGGCTATTTATTGATTCGCTCATGCCATCACATTGTGCTGTTGTACAGTGCACAAAAACTGCAGCAGAAGACGAAGGAATCCTGTTGGTACATTATGATTCAAAAGTAAGTACCTATTATAGTCACTCACATATAGTTTTCATTTTTGAAATTTGGTGATTTTTCTGATTTCTCATCGCAATTCCTTCTGCAATAGGAACTAATAGAAATACTCATGAAATTTCTGAAATAATGCAAGAAGATTGGATTCATGCAATCAAACGGGAGAACTGGTCTTACATGCTGACGAAACATGATCGTGTGTGTTGTAGACATTTTCAATTTTTCAACAGTATTAGATTCTATTGCAGAAGTGGCAGAAGAAATTCTGATGAGACATGACGAAATTTCATAATGTGAGATTACTATTTACCTAAAAAATCGTGAAAAATCATATTCCTTCGTCTCTCGCTGCATTTTTTGTGCATTGTACATCAGTACAATGAGAAGGCATGCTTGAATCAATGAATGGTGCAAAAACACGATTCGTATGCCCGAATATTGTGAAAATTTTTTATTCTTCTGTAAACAAATAAAAAAAGTGAGGTTGTCTTTCGATGTTTCACAAAAGAGTGAGGTTGTGTTTCAATATTCTACCTTCAGGGTCGGTCATCGTGCACGCCACCTATAATCAATGGACATAACCAAAAATAGCTTGTCATTTGTGACTTGACACTGACAGAGGGGTAGGGGAAGGTAGATGGTGTAGCACGGTGAAGCACAAAGGCTTCAACCACTAACCAAAAAGAACGCGTTCCGACACAGTCAAATAGAAAGTGGCTCACTAGTTGTAGATAATGGTATATTATTCAACGAGCGCATAATGATGGCTATTACCCATGAATATGGAAGTTGCAATACGAGCCGAAGGCCAGTGCGGTAGTCATCACATATCAGTCAATCTTACCAGGTATTATATGCCATTTCACTTTTCAGTTGTAAAATGAATCATACTTCTCCTATACATTCCAATTTTCATTTCAATGCTGAATATATTGGTAAGTCATATTTCTAGATCATTATTCATCAAATTATTCATCCGATTTGAAGAAGAATGTCAATTCTCAATTTCGGAGGATTTTATTCTTTATTTTTCATGTTCCTTTTTGAATGTTCATCAGATATAATTCAATGTTCGACGTGGCAAATAGCCAGGAAAGTAGTTGTTTTCTGTTGAATATTCAGAATGATGTGTGTATATACATATTTTTGTCTGAAGGAGAATGCAAATTCTCAATTTCAGAAATTTTTATATTTTATTTTCAAACTCTTATCATGTGTGTTCAATAGATATAATTCAATGTTCGTCGTGGCATATAGCCAGGAAAGTAGTTGTTTTCTATTGAATTAACTGAAAAAGAGTAAATATTCTCATCACATAGAGAATGCGAATTCTCAATGTATTGTTTTATATAAATATATATCCATTTTTGTATGTTCATAATTTATCTGAGAATATTCCTTTTCAACACTTTCATACCCAATCAGGGGGTTCAAACTTGAACGATGGAAACTTGTGATTTTTATAGACCTCTAATCGCAGATTCGTGATAGAGTCTCAATAATTCAGAATTCATTTCCACGCCCTGTATGATAAATGTCAATTTATCATACACCCAAAAGCAATCATACTATTGCAGATTATTCATTAACTTGCTTCCGCTGTAGCTGTAGCATTCCGCGATGATTTATTTTAGTACCCTGTCTCTAGACGCTAGTTATCACCAATGAAGTTCCATGGTTCTGATTGGTCTGTACTGATCTGTTCGAATAGCCCGCACATAAGTGTGAGCCAATCTGCAACTGTTAAGTCCTATTTTATGGTTATGGTTACTCATGATGGTAGTCACTGTTGAGAATGAAGTGAATTCTTATTTTTATGTGCATTTGTAGAATTGAGGTGATTAAAACTATGAGACCCATGTAAGGTGAGTCTTTTGAATTTGCGTGTATTTCAGAAACAGTAGTGGTGTCTTTAGTAGAAATAGTAGAACGAATACCTACTAGTTGGATTTGACAAGACGATGGGATGTCAGATTATTACGCCATCCTACTGTCATTATTACTCTTATTACTCGATTCATCACAATAATATCTGTCATCAAATGTTGAAAATAGAGTGAGCAATGTATGAATTACTCCATAGTTGTAGATAAAATATATGACTCACCGGCTGCAGCAGATCCCGAGAACCACATGGCCACCAGGTCATCCACGCTCGCCGAAGACGGCTGGGGCTGTTGGTAGCTCCCATAGAACCCCCCGGTCCCCGCCGCAGCGGAGCCGAACCCCTCCAGCAGCCTGGCATGCTGCTGGGGCGGCTGTGGCGCAGCCTGCGGCTCCCTGCGCGTCTCATTGATCAGAAGCTGCTGCACCTGCAGTATATCGATGAACTCGTCGCCGGCTGTGGTCACAGGCACTCTCGATGGTCTATCTTCCCTTCTCATCGCTAGCGTTAACATTTTGGAGAGGCGGTCGGCAAACGAGGAGATCGTTTGCCATAACGTGGGGGCACGCTGTGGGGAGATGAGGTCGCTGCTTGTGGAGCCTGCAATAGAGTACGAGGGGCTGTTTCAGTCGGAGGTGGCGGCAATGAGAATAGTAGATTAGTTAGCTGAAAAACTCCTCTATGACTATGTAGAACCTAGAAATCCGCTGAATCTCTTCATATCTCTATCGATGTTTGCTCGAAAAGGGATACAGTGAGGGCATTTCAGAGTGGAAGGAAATGAGAAAATGAAAGTGGTCAGCGTTAACATTCGCCCCATAGCTCTATTGATGGTTGTTTGAATAGAGATACAGTGGGCCTTCTGTGGATATAAGGGCATTCTAGAGTGGGAGGAAATGGATAAACAAATGTGGTCACAGGAACTCTCGAATCTCCCCTTCTTATCACTAAAGTTAACATTTTGGATAGGCCGTCAGAAAATGAGGAGATCGTTTGCCATAACGTGGGGGCACGCTGTGGGGAGATGGGGTCGCTGCTTGTAGAGGCTGCAATGGAGAACGAGGGACTGTTTCAGTCGGAGGTGAGTGCAATGAGAATAGTAGATTAGTTAGCGAGTATCTGAAAAACTCGTCGATGACTATGTAGAACCTAGAAATCTGCTTAATCTCTTTATATCTCTGTCGATGTTTGCTTGAGGAGGGATACAGTGAAGGCATTCCAGAGTGGAAGGAAATGAGAAAATAAATGTGGTCACTGAAACTCTCGATGGTCTATCTTCCCTTCTCATTGCTAGCGTTAACATTTTGGAGAGGCGGTCGGCAAACGAGGAGATCGTTTGCTATAACGTGGAGGCACGCTGTGAGGGGGAGAGGTCGCTGCTTGTGGAGGGATACAGTGAGTCAACAGTGGATATAAAGGGATTTCAGAAGGGAAGGAAATGGAAAATTAAATGTGGTCACAGTAACTCTCGAATCTTTCCTACTTATCGCTAGCATTAACATTTTGGATAGGCGGTAGGCAAACAAGGAGATCGTTTGCCATAACCTAGGATATGAGGTCGTTGCTTGTGGAGCCTGCAATGGTGAACAAGGGGTAGTGCCAGTCGGATATGGTGGCGATATGAAAGGTAGATTAGTAAGCGAGTAGCTGAAAAACTCCTCTATGACTATGTGGAACCTAGAAATCTGCTGAATCTCTTCATATCTCTGTTGATGTTTGCTGCAAGAGGGATACAGTGAGGGCATTTCAGAGTGGAAGGAAATGAGAATATAAATGTGGTCACTGAAACTCTAGATGGTCTATCTTCCTTTCTCATCGCTAGCGTCAATATTTTGGAGAGGCGGTCGGCAAACGAGGAGATCGTTTGCCATAACGTGGAGGCACGCTGTGGGGGGAAGAGGTCGCTGCTTGTGGACTGTTTCAGTCGGAGGTGGTGGCAATGAGAATAATAGATCAGTAAGCGAGTAGCTGAAGAACTCCTCTATGACTATGTGGAACCTAGAAATCTGCTGAATCTCTTCATATCTCTGTTGATGTTTGCTTGAAGGGGAATACAGTGAGCCTTCTGTGGATCAAAGGGCATTCCAGAGTGAAAGGAAATGAGAAAACAAATGTGGTCACAGTAACTCTCGATGGTCTATCTTCTCTTCTCATCGCTTGCGTTAACACTCTGAAGAGGCGGTCGGCAAACGAATAGATCGTTTGCTATAACGTGGGGACACGCTGTGGGGGATACAATCTTTTCTTGTGGACCCTGCAATGGAAAACGGGGGGCTGTTTGGTGATTGCCTTGGTTGTTAAAGAACAGATTAGAAAGCAACTATAAATTGAATATTCCTAGGACGCATAGCAAGGAGGGGGGATACGATAGATCACATAGGTCACCTTCATCTAAACACATTAGTTATTTATGTACCAAGTACGTTATATGGGGCCTTAGGGCGTTAGACGTTAGGATTCAGTATTGATTGAGTTATAATAAAAAAACATTGGGTGCGTTTTTCATTCCAACATTTCATCATGCGCATGAATCGAAGAAACCATCAAACTGTTGCAAAATTCCGCTGGAATGTTGATGGACATCCATCAAACTGTTGTAATAAAATGCGCACTTTTAAATCGCATTTCGAGAATCCAGCAGTTTGGAGGAGATTGACATGACAGTTGACACATTTTTAGTGTTGTTTTTTGTTTTGATTTGATAGAAAACAATTAATATTGAGGATTTTTGAGATTCTCGAGAGATTTTAGAAGAAAGAGTCAGTGTTAATCAATAAAGTCGAATTAGCCTTTTCTGATTCTCAAGATACATGATGACTGACACACAACAAAATCCGTGTTTCCATCAATGTGTTGTATAAACCATTGTTCAATCCTTCCAGCAAACACGCCCATTGTGTTGAGGACGAATCACACTTCAATCCGAAACCTGATGATGCTAATTTGAAAAACTCACTCTCGCCACAGGGCGTTATGAAGTTAAGGGTGGAAAAGTAGCTTTTGTTTTTCCCAGTATAATGATCAAGCTATCAGCTAATTTTGCTCGTAATTTTGGGAACTCAAATTGAGGTTAACATTTAGAAACATGAATTCAGGATTTGGTAGAAATTTCACTATAGTCGAACAAGAATTGAAAATGTTCCAGGCCTGAATTATTATCTGACCAGTTGTTTTTATACGAGGTTATATATAGTTACCCTACTTAACCACCGCATTTTGCATGGCGAAGCTGATTCACAAACCAAAAACGCTGATTAGTTAGAGGTTATGTCTGCACGTTTTCTGATCACCACTGCACGTCAATGAGGAGAATATGCAGCCTGGTATCAACACGGACACTTTCACTTTAAAAAAATGTACAACAAGCAGACCTCCTAGATGTACTCGAGATTGAATTCTCCTGGAAGGGCGAATCGTACCTTTTGAGTCTCTGACAAGGCCGGAAGAAGACGAATGAGCCTCTGGAGTTCACCCCAAATGAACCGAATTTTTGTTGATAAAAATTTGAAAAAAGCAACACTTTCCTTGATCAGTTGTATATTTTCTCAAAAACAAGATATTGATGTGAATCGAAAAACATTGTGTTGGAAAGGGATCACACTTCAATCCAGGACATAAGAAAGCTACGTTCAAATAATCACTTTTGCTACAGGGCGTTATGAATTCAAGGGTGGAAGAGTTACTTTCGTTTTTACCAGTAATGAACAAACTATCAGCTAATTTTGGCAACTTACATTCGGGTTGACATTCAACAACGTACTTTCACGTTTGGTACAAATTTCATCATATTCGAACAAGAATTGGAAAAGTTACAGGGCTAAATTATTATCTGGCCATTTGTTTTGCCGGTGAGTGTACTAGAGGGAAAAACAAGATTGATATTCACCTAGCGCAATTCCTCAATGAATCTTTTAGCTCGTGTACAACATCCAGTTAACATTTAGTTCACATTCATTGACATCATTTACCATTAACGAGCCTTCAATTAACTACGAAGCGACTAGTTATAGCTACACTACTGAACCACCGCACTTTGCATGACGAAGCTGATTCACAAATCAAAAACGCTGATTACTTAGAGGTTATGTCTGCACGTTTTCCGCTCACCACTGCACGTCACTGAGGTAAACATCCACCCCGGCACCAGAACGGAAAACGATCACTTTGCGAACGCGACGAAAAACTTCGCGGTCTGGTGTTACAGTATTCTCGCGCAAGCTAAACATGAATGAAATTATATTCGACGGACATGTGTCTGTTGGTTAGAGAATTTCTTTGGCCCACGCGTGGACGCCCGCGCTTTCATACGTCACGGCGTCGTCATGGTTAGGTCTGTACTTAGATTTGGTGGAGCAGGTCGCAGCAGACTGTAGCGTAATAGAAGGTGGGTAGAGCGGGCATTTTTCGTGGGAATAAGACAACAACTGAAGTTTTCTAGAAAGTATTTTCATCGGCTTTCAAAACAGCATTGACCAGGGCCGACCCCAACCTATTGGCGTGTTATTTTTATTCTTCTTGGACGGTAAAAAAGTTCGAATTTCCATTTCTGTTGACAGGTTATAAAATGTAAATTTTCATTAATTACTTTTTTCCACAGGAAAAAAGTTAGTACTACGTTAGTACCCTAGTCAATAACTATTTTTCGAATTTAGAATCTGCCGTTATACTTGATGGAAATCCATGGCAAATGTAAGAACTTCACAAAAGATGAGATTTCCACAAAATTTTGTGGAAATCTTATCGTTTGTGATGTTTTTACAAATAACTATTAATTTTATCCATACACCATCCAACAGCCGAAGCCAATTACAGGATGGGATAAATAAACTACTAATTGCAAATTACAATTTTGACACGAACTAGACTAAGACTAACTATAGATATGTTTCATGAAGTGTTTTCGGAAACCAACTCTAGGTTGTTAACTCGATCTTTTTTTTTATCGCTTGGAGCGCACAAAGAACATCGTGCGTTCCTAGGGAGGATAGGGACAGGAGGTAGGTATTGGAATTTTTTTTAACTTTTGGAGATTATATGTTGTTGGGAATACTTCCACAGGCAATGAATTCCAGAGCCTAGCCGTTCTATGGATGAAGGAGTCTTGATAAAGCGCTGTTCGACATCTTTTGAGGTTGACAACGAAAGGAAAAGTGAAAGGTCGCCGACCTTTCTACGGTGTTCCAATGATGTCAAAGAGTGAGTGAGTGTAGCGTCACCCACCAGGCGAATGGTTCTTCTCTGGATGGAATCTAAGAGCATCAGCGTATGTTTCGGTGCTGAACCCCATATGTGGGAACAGTATTCTAGAACAGGCCGTATCTGCGCTTTGTAGATCATGAGAAGCTGTTGAGGTGTAAAGTAGCTTTTCGCACGGAACAAGAATCCGAGTTTTTGTGGAGCAGCTTTTGCGATGGATCTGACATGATTATCCCATGAAAGAGTGTTGCTGATGGAAATACCGAGCATAGATATGGTGGGCTTGGTGGGGATGGTGGAGCCAGACATTACAATATCGGGCATACTGAGTTCCGCCTTTCTAGAGAAAATGCAGGCTTGAGTTTTGGTGGCGTTGAATTCAACTAGGTTGTTTGTTCCCCAGGCTGTGATTTCAGCAAGATCTTCATTGACAGCATTGACCTGCCTGCGCCGTGAGTTCTTAGTTTCCTGGGAAGAAATGGGAATTCTGGAAGAGAACGCAGTATGGAGGGTACTATCATCTGCAAAGCTGTGGATGGGGCAAGTTGTTACTCCCAACAGATCATTGATATGGAGCAGGAATAATGTTGGTGCCAAAATTGATCCTTGTGGAACGCCGGAATTGATGCCAATGGTATCAGACGATACACCGTCCACCACCACGTGAAGCGATCTGCCTGAAAGAAAACTCGATAAGAGATGGCATAGCTGAGGTGGTAAGCCGTATGATGGTAGTTTGTGGAGGAGTCTTTCGTGCCAAACACGGTCGAATGCTTTCGATATGTCCAACGCGACAGCTAGAGATTCCCCGTATTTTTCTATTGAAGATTGCCATAAATGAGTGACGTAGGCAAGTAGATCTCCGGTAGATCTTCGGTGGCGAAAACCGTATTGTCTATCATTGATGATTCCTGAGCTCTCCAGATATTTGATAAGCTCAATATTGATGGCTTTCTCCATCACTTTGGAGATCACTGATAACAGGGCAATGGGCCTGTAGTTGTTGGGCAGGTTCTTGTTCCCTTTTTTGGGGATTGGTTGGACTCTAGCTGTCTTCCAGCATGATGGAAAAATACCCGACCTGTACGAGATGGTAAACAATTTGCAGAGAATCGGTGTTAATTCTGGTGCACATTTTTTGAGGATAATGGGTGGAATTCCATCAGGACCGTTAGCCTCATTTGTTTTGAGACCAAGCAAAATTCGTCTGATAGTGCGTTGACGGAAGACGATTTCGGGCATTCGACTCTCAACGGGTGGAATGTCTGGCGGCAGTTTTCCTTGGGAATCTGAAGTAGAGTTCACGTGAGAAAAAACTCTGATAACCCACTCGTGATCAATGTTTACGAACGTCTCAGGTTAGGAACACAGAATTCAATCTTTTTTCGTGGTTTCGTGAATATGATAGACGAAGAAGATTTCCACAAAATTCTTGAACACACAACATGTTTCGCTAACACGTACAGTATCTTCGTCAGGTGATAATGGAATCGCCACATCAGGAGGCCGAAAGACATTCAAAAATGAAAAATCGTTTTCAATTTCTCTGACAGACAACTGTAACTTCAGCTGTCAACGGTGATGCAAGACAAAAAACAATTGGTCCTATGAAAATCATGACAAACTTGTGGATCATGACATTAGAATATAAAGATAGTAGAGGAACAACCTAAGGTTAACAATGCTATGAGTATTTTGAGAAGAAAAACTTACACTATAGATCAAAGCAAGAAGGAACAATAACACAAACATCAGAAACTCAAGGCATTGAAGAGTGTTTGGCAATCGAAATGGATTTGTTCATTGACTATGCCTTCATCGAAAAGGCTACCGTCTTCAACAAAAAAGAAAAGCCTGATAGTCGTTTTCGAATTTTGACCCTTTCAAAAAACAAAAGTGTGCCTTGAGAATCTGAATATTCCAGATTTGTCAACAGTTTCGAAGAGAGCCCATTATCGAGGACTATATTATCGTATTTTTGTTAGGAACAATCGGTCAACGTTTCCAAACCATGAGGGTGTTGCCAGTTATAATCGCACATACTATATATACGGTAGGCCAACGTAGCCTCGTGGTTGAAGTGTCGAAGGTTCGATTCCCACCACGACCGCAAAAATTTTTCTGATGGCCTAAAAAACTGTTTGGGATCACACGTTGAAAGGTAAGACCCTCGTCATTCCTTGCTCGCACAAGACTTCTGAGGGTTGCTCGTAAGGGGACAACCGAATGATGGATAAGGACAATTTTACAACTGTATGCTCATAGTTTTCTAATTCTTATTCCGATCAAAGCATCTGGCCATGAAGCTTCGTGCAACAATAATAAAACAATCCGTATACGCTGCCAAATTAGTTTGGTCAGAAAACTCTGAAGTTTCCCATTGGCTAAGAATTTCGTGTAGGTTTGTTTGAACACATTGACTCACCCCGTGTATACTAGCCTAGGCATACCTCTAATTGCGATCACTATTTTTTGTGTAGGCACCGATTCCAACACCGATTCGTCCCACTCGGGAGGTTCGACTTTATTTTGAAGCGAGGTCTTTGCAATTGAAACGTCACTATCACTATTCAGATTCCCTTCCTGCTTATTAGGTGGGCAGCAGTGGTCTACGCGCTTTTTGGCACCGGTCACCAACTGTGACGTCATCGAACGAAATACTACTCCCAGGAAGGTTGTACCCACTAGACATGAAAACCTAACCCAAACATAAATGTTACATTACATTTTTACCTTGTGATGTTATTCAGAGGCATAATGTCACAGATACGTTGCGGCGATGGGCCTTTGTGTCTCTTCTGAATATCACAATATACACACATAGAAATAATTTCTTCCTTTAATGAAATATGCGAACGATTGCTTGATATACAAATTTGTCATTTCCAATTCAGTAGCCTCCGACCAAGCGTATAGGTTGCTTGAAATATGAAGAATTAGATATTCTTCATACGAGTACAATAACTATACTCTGAACAAGAGTCTCATTGAGAGAGAGAGAGAGAGAGAGAGAGAATAATCTTTATTGTCTGAAATGTATTACATTTCGTCGACAAAGGTATATCATATATATAAAAAACGAACAATTGTAAAAGAAACAAGACTAAAAAATATTTACATAAAGGGTATAATACGGTACGGTACAAACGTGTTTTCACAACTACAGTTTATTAAAATCTTGATGTAGATCGTAACATTAAACTAGAAATTATATGCAAAATACTCTTCCAAACTATAGAAGCATTTTCCCATCACAAGGTTTGTTACCGATTTCCTAAATTACTTCTGATCATTGATTGCTGTTATTTGTTTCGGTAAATGATTATATATCTGTCTACTTCTATATATTTGAGAATGCTTGGTCAAAGTTGATGTGGGGAGTGGAAGGACAAGTATCATCTCCTATCGTGTATGCCTTTCTGCTCGATTCAAGAACTTTTCTTTATGTTTGTGAAGCAAGCAAACAGTCTCTATCATAAAAATTTCGAATATTGTTGGTTTGCAGAAAATTGGCCTACACGAGTCGCGAATCCTCTTTTTGAAAGTTATTCTCACAGCTCTTTTTTGAATGACGAATATACTTTGCAATAAAACCTGGCAGGCAGAGCCCCAAAATGGAATTCCATACCTAAGATGACTCTCCATAAGTAAGTAAGTATGCGGTCATTGAAGCTGAAAATCCGAGTTCACGAGATATGACATTCACGGCAAAGCAACCAGAAGACAATTTCTTTTTCAGTGCATTAATTTGTGTGTCAAACTTTAAATTACTATCAATAAATATACCGAGGAATTTCGTTACAAGCTTATTTTCAACCGTCTGACAACCTAAAGTTACCTGATCCAAATCCCACTTGAATGTGACCAGATTTGTTTTAGAAAGATTCAGCGACAACATATTCGATTCACACCAATTTTTTATTTTTCCTAAATCAGAGTGTATAGTTCGAGTCAAAGTTGCCGGATCTCCATTACGCCAAAATACCGTGGTGTCATCCGCAAATAAGGTGAATGTCCCAGATATATCCAATTCAGCCAGATCGTTAACATACAGCAAGAATAAAATTGGGCCCAAGACTGACCCTTGAGGAACTCCGTTTACTATTTTTCCACTTTCGGAAGTATTATTGTTCAAGGATATTTTTTGGCTTCTACCAGTGAGATAAGATCTGAACCATTCTAATGTTGTTCCCCGAAATCCATAATGGAAAAGTTTCTGCAGGAGGATCTCATGACACACACAATCAAACGCCTTAGAAAAGTCCAGAAATACTGCCGCAGCCACTTCCTTATCGTTTAGAGTTGTATAGATGTTTTCAAGTAAATTAAAAATGACATCAGTCGTATTTTTATCATATTGGAAACCAAATTGTACGGGAGTTAAAATCTTGTGCTTTTCCAAAAAGCCCACCATCCTGCGTTTGACTAGTTTTTCGATGATTTTTGATAACGTTGATAGAATTGAGATCGGTCTGTAATTACTAGGGTCATCAATGACACCTCCTTTGTAGAGTGGTAACACTTTCGCAGATTTTAAGCGTGAAGGAAACACACCAGTGGTAAACGATGTATTTATAGCTGTTACTAAGGCTTCAAGAGGCAATTGAAAGAGCAGCTTTGCAGAGAGGTTGTCTTCAAGTGGATCAACTATTGGTATGATATCTTTGGTTATTTTTGATGCTACTGAACAATAATATTCATTCAAATGATTCGAGTTGATCTTTATTTCCGGTTGATTTTGTTTTTTATTATCTCTCAAGTCGTTTATTATTGTCCACATTTCCTTTGGTTTATTACCTGCCTGATTCAGTCGGTCAGTATAATAGCGATCTTTGGCTAATTTGATAGTTTGTCTGTGAATACGACGAAAGTTATTGAAGTATGAAATGAAAAATATATTGTCACTATGAAATTTTCTAATGGTATGCAGGAATCTTAGAATTGAGGAAATTTTAAGTTGCATAGGTTGTTGAGACAATTATTCATTCTCTTCATTTGAAGAGTACCTTTCTTGAATCAAATAACAAAAATTGTCATTAATCACTGCAGCTTATTTCATAACGAGAAATTGATAGGATTTGACGAATGAAATGAGGTGTTTCAATTGAAACTATCATATTGCTGAATAAGAAAACTATCATTGGCGAAAATATGCAGTTAACCCTGCTCCAGAAAGGTTTAAGACATGTTTCGACCATTCAGATGGTCATCATCAATGATTAGTACCAAAAGTGAATCTTACATGGATATAAGTTATTCAACATTTTGCAGAGGTCAGCATTAGGAGTGAAAAGTAGCATGATGGAATTATACAATTATCAAAACCTAGAACATGTGTAACTGTTGAACATCAAGAATCTGATAACAACAAAAGTGTTACGATATATTCAATAGCTATATAACCTCGTGAATATAGTGATACACATTTGTAGCTATCAGATTCTTGATTTTAATCAGTTACACATGTTCCAAATATTGATATTAGTATAATCTCATGTCACTTTTCACTCACATGTTGATTTTTACAAAATTCACTTTTGATATTTATGATTGGTGATGTCTCAAACCTTTTTGGGAGCAGAATTAACTGCATACATTCTCCAATCAATTTCGTGGGTACGACTTCGAGACTTTTCTTTCTTGGTCGTTCCGCTCAACTTCGAGTATGGACCATAGAGGAAGTGGTATTTCTTATTTGTTTCAATTCATCTTTCCCCTATCTTGCAGTTTTTCTCCCATTCCGTATGCTGATATACAAATACTCATGTCTGTATGTCACTTTGCACTTCAACAGAAATAGACAAATGGAAGTGTGGTAAAGATATCAAAAACTTCAATAGCTGGCGACTTGCACAGTGTTGCCGACTTTCATATTTGAAATGACCGTTAGGTCAAGAAGACCATATTCTTTTGGGTCTCACGAGGTTGGAATATTATAATCAATATGTATTTTCTCATCTTCCTATCATATTTTTTGAACTATTTTCAGCACCATATGTGAAGAAATACACAAGAATCAATTTACATTGGAGTAGGTACCTATTATACAAATTATCTACTTATTTTGAATGCTATACAGACTTTAAAGCTCATTCATAATTCTGAATTGATAATTATTGTTACTCTCGTGTTGGTAGAGGTATAGGTTTGGAAGGGATCATCAATAACATTGAAGAAGATTTTGAGACTTGGCCAAGTTGAAATAAATATTAATGGGTACGTATTCGTACGTTTGGCAACACAACCTTGAAGAAGGAATTGCAAAGATATTCAAGAATATGTAAGGATCGATCAAGAATATGGAATTACAAATCCTCTTCTTCTGATAAAAATGTTTAGCGCATTTCTCCGATGAAGAAATATTTTTTATAGTGTCTTGGAAACAAAATATTGTTAAATTACTTGAATAGAGAGTAATATGATGGAACCAAATGAATATTCCGAATAATTTATTTTCTACATTGGAGGTATTCGAAAACTTTTGCATTGAATAAATCATTTTGGGAGAAGAAGGTGTTTTCTCAGTTCAACGAGTTTTTGCTGCCTGATTTTGAAATTCTGTTTTGACTATGTTCTGTGGACCAACAAAATCAGAGGACGTCGTTGATTCTGGCTATTCCTATACATAATTCAAAATTATACATTATGTTCGACCTCATTTTGGATCTGCGAAGAACAGGTGTGATGTCACTCGTTTCACAATTCTGTGGGACTATTTTAGGTGAATGTTTTGGAAGAAACGAGGTGATTATAGAACTGATGCCAAGACATTCGTGTGCAGTGTAAGAATCGATAAAAATAGAGTTTTGAGATCAAAAACACCGATTTGTGATCATGTGTAATGTATCTGGAGTCAAGAGAATATTCCCCTTTTTTTGCCTGATGTGTTCTAGAAATAAAAGATAGGACTTCCAAAGGAAGCAAATTGGTTGTGTTTATTTCTCTACTTTTTCAACTTCCGAAATAATATGTTTCTATGAACTTCTTGAACAAGTTTTGGCATGAATCTAACAATAATTATAGGGATTCCCTTTCGTGCGCTTCAAGCGATAAAAAAAAAACAGTTTTTGTGTTGGAGGAACACTTTGTGCCAGTGAAGAATTTTCCCAGAAAATTGTTGCATATACAAGGTGTCGAATAATTTAATAACAACCCTAAAAAAAGTCATCTCAAAGCCGATAGATAATCTTCTTTGAAGAGAGGAATCTAGTAAATACTGGCTGTAGGTTAATCGAAGAGGTGGTATATTCATTATAGCAGATTTTTTTTAGGTTTTTCTCTCCTTGTTGCTATACAGGGTGTCCCGAAATTACCTTTTTTTATGATCTGGTTCCCACGAAAAGGAATATCCTGAAATGTTCAGAGAACATCGTGAGAACCAAGGGAAATAAGGTAGGAATTGATGTTCTTCCTAAATTTCTGGACGTTATATGCCTCGGGAAACACCTCCCTTGGCAATATGTTCCAGAACCTCGCTGTTCGTTGGATAAACGAGTCTTTGGAAAGAGATGTTCTGCAGGTCTCCAAAAGTGACCACGAAGGGGTGCGAAGCCTCAACTCGACGGGTTAATCTCGCGGGGACTGCCAAGGGAGGAACAATTGTTGATTTTTCAGAAGAGCATCGTCCATGAAGAAATCTATAAAATAGAGCCAGATCTCCAACTTTTCTACGGTGTTCCGGAGAAGTGAGTGAGTTTGTGAGCGAGGCATCACCCACGAGATGAATTGCTCTTTTTTGGATAGAATCAAATAGTTTCAGGGTATGTTTGGGTGCTGCACTCCAAATATGGTAACAGTATTCCAGGACAGGTCGAATCTGTGCCTTATAGATCATAAGCAGCTGACTGGAAGTGGAATAGCTCCTGGCCCGAAACAGAAAACCAAGTTTTTGGGATGCACTTCTAGCAATTGATCTCACGTGATTTTCCCAAGCAAGGTTATTGCTGATAGTGATACCAAGCATCGAAATGGATGTCTTCAAAGGTATGGTTACTCCTGACAAGCTTATGTTGGGCACAGTGTGATCGGCTTTTCTAGAGAAAAGCCATGCTTCTGTTTCGTTTGCATTAAAATCTACCAAGTTATTGGATCCCCATCCGAGAATTGTTGCCAAGCCCATATTCATGTTATCAACATTTCTTCCTCGTTCGTTTATATTTTATATTAGGTATATTTTATATTAGATATACCTAATCTTTTACGTATATTTAACTTACAGGGGCTGTAGTTCGGAGAAGGTGCATTTCAGATCACATGTTTGGTAAAAAAAGTCTTATTTCCATTCCAAAAATATATTCTTGAAATATTTTCATCAAATTCCGTTTCACCCTGTGGGAAAATAATCCGTAAATTCTAATCAATAGGTGGAATCATCTTAAAATTTGGTATGATTATAATTTAGAATTCATGTTTGTACTCATTTCTTAAAGTAACTGTGAACGTTATACCTAAAAATGTGTATTAAAACTCCAGAGCTATACTCAATGTTTGAAGTACCTACGTCACCGTCACACAAATTGCTTTACGTGTCGATCAGTTCTAATTTTACAGTGATGACGTCGTTCAATGTTTTTCTTTCACTGATCACGTTGAAATCCATTTTCTGGAATAAGGAACGGAAATAGCTGTTTTCCTATTATTAGAATCATATATATTTGATTCGAAAGTTCGGTAGCATCTAAAATAAGATATTGATTCACTGACTAGTCCTTTTGAACTGTATCGTCAGATTAGTCCAAACAGACGAACGTGTTATGTTGATGTAAACGATTACGTTGTTGAAGTATGAGTCTGACTGTATAATTAACTCACCTTTCGTTTGGCATCTTCATTTATGGCTGAACTCTATAATGTATCCAAAACAGTTGGTCTAGATTTAAAAATAAAAATGATTCTGGTAAATCAGGTTAGCTTATTATTTTCCTGTAACTCTGTAATTATAATGAAAGTGTCTCTATAATCCAAATGAGTGGTAATAAAAAGAGTGTTCCTATCAAAATGTCAATGTTAGGGTTGTTTCCGTTTGAACTCGAGATAAGGAGGGGTGGGAGATGTCGAATAATTTTCCAGCAATCCTAAAAAGAAAATATTCCAAAGCCGATAATCTTCTCGAAAGAGAGGGATCCAGTATAAATATTGGCTGGAGGTTAATAGAGGAGGTGGTATATTCATTATTCCTGTTTTTTTTGAGATTTTCTCTCCTCGTTTCTATATGATGAAAATATGAATATTATTTCAATATACGTGTAGTGAGGACAAACCAGATGGTTTCCCCAGAATGTCATTGCGTTTGCCTTTTTTTCTTCTATCAGGGAGCCTAAAAGAAGAATGCATTCGCTTATCAGTGACAATTTATATAGAAAAAAGGTTTTGAGAAGAGAAATATAGGAAAGTGTAAGTGTCACTGATGAGCGAATGAATTTTTTTTAGGCTCTCTGATAGAACCATTTTTTAAACGCAGTTACATTTTGGGGCAAACCATCTGGTTTGTCCTCACTACACGTATGTTGTAATAGTACTCATTTTTTTTATTTTATAGAGACGGAGAGAGAAAATCACAAAAATAATCTGGAATAAGGAATCTAGTATGTTGATACGAAAGGTAACTATCGTGTTTCCATGCATAATACATTCCCGGAATATCTGATAAAATAAAACGTGTTGGTGATAAGAGTCTAGTGAAAACTATTCGAGACTGAAAATACAATCATAAAATAATTGTATACATATTATATATTGTGCTCCTGGAAAGAATAATACAGGTGAAACAAATAGATCTCTCTCCGTAAGGAAGAAAGAACATCTATTCTTATGCTATGATATGTAATAAAAACTCTCAACAATGTTGTCCCTATAATATTTATTGATCAATACGAAATATAAATCAACGAACATGACATAATATTATGAGTAAATAGAGAATTGCAACAGTCACATAGAGAGGACAATGTATCAGCTGAGGAAATGATTAAAAACATTGGCCTGTTGAAAAAGGGGGGTCTTTTCCAAATTCTGATATAATACCCAATTTTTTCCATTGTTTCATTCTATGTTATTCCTTGGGTTGAATACGATACACCGCGTTACACCTTGATATGAAAGAATATCATTACATGTCAGGGTCCAAGAATGAGGCTTCAGCCTAGTATTAAAAGATTCCGTGTAGATTAGATAAGATTCAAAATGGGGCTTTCAAGCTATCAACCCCCACCCCGCTACATCTTCAGATCTATTGTTTCTGCCCTCAAAATCGTTTAGAGCTTTGTCTAGCTCCGCCTTTTCTATGAGACTCTATAGGCTAGCTTTGATTGATTGATTGATTGATTAATAGCAGAATGATCAGTCAGGGTTTGAAGCCCAAAACACTGCAGCCTTTGGGCCTATTGTATTCCTGATCATGCTGTTGACTTAGGTGAACAGGTTCGCTACCTTGATGAGGTTTAGCAGCCTCTTCACCAGATCATTCTTTGAAAATGCCTCTTGAGAGTTTACTGCTCCCAGAAGGTTGTATCTCCAACGCGCTAGTGCTTCGCACTCCAGTATTACATGGGTGGCAGTTTCCTCCTCCTCATTGCATAGTCTGCATATGGGTTCGTCTGTATAGATGCCCATTTGATGCATATATTTCCTCAAGGGGCAGTGAACGGTTATTAGTCCCGTCACTTGTTTGATCTGACTTCTGTTTAGGCTCAGAATGTCGTTAGTCACTGTTTTGGACAGTGTTCCAACCATCAGTTTACTGTGTCTTTGTCCTGGGACATTGTTCCAGTATGCCAGATGTCTTTCTTGCATCCACCTTGCCAGCCAGCCGCGTATTGAGGTTTTGGGGATACCGAACACAGGTTCCGGCCCCATAAACAACGTCGCAGACCCTTGCCGGGCAAGAGCGTCAGCTGCTTCATTGCCTTCAATTCCCTTATGCCCTGGCACCTATTGAAGAGTTACCTTGTTGTGGTTAGCCAGGGTTAGCAGGCTTTGAAGGCAATCCCAGACCAATTTTGATCTGATTTTATTGCATGTTAGAGATTGAATGGCCGCCTGACTATCTGAGCATATGAGGATTTGTTTACCTCTGTATCCTCTTACGATATTCTCTCTCAGGCATGCCTCAATAGCATGCACCTCTGCGTGGAATACTGAAGCATACCTCCCCAAGGAAGCACACATCCTGGTTCTGGGTCTATCTCCATATATTCCGGCTCCCGTGCCCTCATCAGTCTTAGAACCGTCAGTGTACCATACTAACGTGCCTTCCTGACAGTTAGTCAAGACCCTTTCATCCCAGTAGAGCTGAGTGTTGAAGGGTCTGTAATAGTTATTTCTAGGCAGCATTTTGTTCCTTCCCATATCCATTACTGGGCTTGAAACTTGGCTGATTATTTTTGTATGTCCCAGGGAGTCACCCCGAGCATACCAGTTGCCGGTACTTTCCAGTCTGTATGCCCCCATCCTCGCTTCCGCCTTGATGAAGATTTCAAGAGGTGGAATATTGAGTATGGTTTCCATAGCAACGGTAGGAGTGCTGCGCATAGCACCTGTGATGCAGAGACAAGCTAATCTCTGGAGTTTTGAAAGCTCCATTATAGCTGATCTCTGTTCAGTCTTAGGCCACCAGACAAGCGATCCATATACATCGCTTGTCTGGTGGCCTAAGACTGAACAGAGATCAGCTATAATGGAGCTCTCAAGGCTAGCTTACATATCCCCTGTGTAACTGTGGGCTCTTGGTTGTTTCTTTCACTGCGTGAGGTAATTTAATCTTGAAAAGCCCTCACAGTGGCAAAATATATGTACTGCTGTTTCCCCCTCTTCCCGAGAGAACGTCCACAGCAGTTCTTCAGCCAGACCTATCGTACTCTGTTTGTTGAGCCTATACAATGCCCTGTGAGAAGTCCTACTAGTATTCTAGTTGAACTTCGTTTCTGGCTCAGTTTATATTTTGTGAATGTTGGCGATAGTTTTTTTTTGAAAAACTCCTTCGCCTGTCTCATTCCTGGCGAGTTGTGCCACCATTCTTGAGATTTGGTTTGCATCCATAATATGATACTTGTCTTTTGTATATAGCTTTCGCAATACCACAAGAGTGTTCTGGACCAGTCAGAACTTAGTTTGCTTCTGCTCAGGCAAATGAGTCCACCTCTTCATTGCCCTCGTACCCTCTATGTGCTGGTACCAATGCTAGAGTCCGTCTGTTCTGACTGCCCAGTTCAATCGGAGTTTTTAAGCAGTCCCAGACCAGTTTTGAGTTAACTTGCATCGAGTTGTCGAAAAAAAGTGTTATAGGAAGATAAATAATCAATTTTGCTAGCAGAATCATTCTTTGAATCGTTGTTCATTTCCATATTACACCTATGTATATACTGCACCCATTATTTGGTGGTTCTCGATTGCGATCTCATTGAATAAGGATTTGTTGTTTGGGTCTATTTCGGACCACAATGGAATTTACCTGCCTGGTGAACAATAAATATAATTCAATTCAGCACGTTTAAACTGGCTTATCCGTGACAAATCTTGCTGGAATACAAATCAATTTCTTCAATAAATCGTCCGAAACAAATTCAGCTGCCATGCTTCGTGTTCGGGAATGTAAATATAATCGCAAAAAGTCGAACACCAAGAAGACACAATGATGGCAACTTTTTCCTGTGACACTAATTGACTTATCTGGTCCTGGTTTGTCACTATCTCTCAGACGGATATCTTGAAAACAATGGCGTGTACAAGAGAGTCTGCTTCGGCACAAGACGGACTATATACAGGGTAACTCACGGTCCATGGTACGTTAGACGTTTATGGACAACGCAACGCATGATTTGTCTGAAAATTTCGCATCTTACATTCAATCAACTGTTCTATCGATCTAAAATATTTTCGAAATTGCGACGGTGCCGTGTATATCAAAAAGTCCTAGCAACTTCATTTTCTCAAATAGAACACCCCGTATATTAACAAATTATAAGAATTGCCTTTTCATTACATACTCTTTTGTCAATCAATTCCTATACCTATCTCTATTGGTTTACAAGAAAAAAAATAATTTGTGTTAAATATGATCCAAAACATATCCCTAATTAAACTTATGTAAATCAGCCCTGATTCGGACCATATCAAGTTTTTCTGAATTGAAAAACACCATTTTTGATCCCACAAATTATTCAAAACGGAACTGTCATATTTTGACGAGTGGTTGTGACTTGTCATCTCTAAAATCAAGGCCACCTTTTCCATTTTCGGTAGTATTCTGAAAAATAAAGAAACTGTAAATTTTTGTCATCGAAACATTCGGAAATCGAAATTTGTGATAGCTCATTGTTTTTGGGCTATCCAAAGGCAACAAAAAATGAATTGAAAAATCCAGGTCCGTATTTTAAAAAAATAAGTTGATGATTGTTTCTGGAAGACGAAACGTCAGATTTCGAATTTGAAAACGCCATCTTGTAGACAAGAGAAAGTGGCTATGATAAAGTGTCATTTATATCGATCAATTTCTTCAAATAACGCCAGAAAAAAATTTAAACAGTTTTATGAAATTTCGATTTTTTTCGGATATCTCCGGGAGTATTCGAAATCTTCCAAGATGCAGAACGGCATTTTGTT